CATCAGTTTCAGCATTTTGACCTGGACTTTGAACAAGCTTCCACTTTGGCTCAAGTTCTGCTAAAGTATTGATGAGGACAGACCCTAATGGTGATGACAATGAAATCTCAGAGTATCAATTATAGATGACATCATTAGCATGTCATCTGCTGGCTGAAGCTACAAATGAGTACATCTCACTGTGAGGTTTTCTAATGGAAAAGCTGATGGATATTTATTTGCATACAAGCCAAAACCGAACCAAATACATAACAGATATTTTAATATTATTCAGCAGGAAGAAATTGAAACATTTTAGGAAAATCCTGAGAATGTTTGATCAGCTGACAGTTCCTGACTTTGTATTTATGTACCTCCATGTGCCTTATGGTTGTCAGCAGGGGCGGGGTTAGACCCGGCTACTTGGGCTCAAGCCCCGAATGTTTTATGAAAAGCCCCAGATCTAAAACATGGACGTAGCATGCAGTACCAAAGTCCAACAGAGAGGGAGCAGCTGGCAGTAGTTTGTATACAGCCTGCCTGAGCCTCCACCACTGAAGAAGCCCTTCAGCAGCCGGCTTCTTCTGCAGTCTCTGCCTGTAACGCATGTGTGAAGATCAAGCCCCCACAATACAGTTCTGAAACTGAGTCAAACCTGGAAGTGAAATAAATTGCAGTTCCACCCTCATCCGCTGGGGCCTGGTGTCAGAAGCGAGCAAATCCTTATTGACTCCCATGTTAAAAATACCAATTTCACAGCAGAAATAAACATGTTTACAGCCTGGTACCAAAACATGTTTTTGGTTTAAATTATCTAGTTTACACTCATGACAACTCTGAGGGGGGTGAATTTTTTTCTCACTCTTCTGTTTAACTGTATTAAAAGCCTAAAATTCTGTATAATTAATGAGCATCAGACCCACGTGACCGCAGAGTTAGCTCCGTGGAAAGGCCTCAGTAGAGCCTGAGTCTGGCTTGGAAACTGCTCCGGCATTTTGAGTCTCTGTGTTTGTGTATTCTTGTTTGGATATTATTTGTGTAATTGTTGGACAAAATGACTTGATGTGGCATTAATTGCACTAATAGAGCGTCCAAGGAGTCTCCACTTCATTTTTTTCGGTAAGTAAAATTATATTTATGTATTTTAGGTGACTGCCGAGCTGAGCTTAGATTTTAACATGTACTGTTTAACCATGAAATTTAAATGTAATAGGGTAAAACCCAGTGCATTTAACATAATGCTGCACTTTAGAAAATGGGTTGAAATATAACATGTTGGTGGAACTGGGTTCCCACTATCGGCTTGTGGAGCTCTCGGGAGACTGATGTTTTCCACCCTTATCCCCTCCCCGCAGCCCGGTCCATCTCTGTCTGATCGCGGCTTCTGTTAGCTGTGTGGGCTGACGACTGGTTCTCCCAGCAGCTCGGCACATCTGTCTGATTGCAGCTTCTGTTAGCTGCACGGGCTGACAGCTGGTTCTTATTGCAAGCCAGAACCGCCAAAATACGCCACTTCTCCCCGCAGCTCGGCGCATCTCTGTCTGATCGCGGCTCCTGTTTGCTGCATGGGCTGATGGCTTGTGGAGCTCTGGGATGTAAACCTTTCCACTCGGTTCTCCCCAGCGGCAGCTCTGCACATCTCAGATCGCAGCGGCGCTTGTCTGCTGTACGGCTGCCGGCTTGTGGAGGTCTCGGAGACCTCTGTGTTCCACCCGGTTTTACCCAGCGGTCAGCCCGGCGTATCTCAGACTCAGAAGCTCTGGTGTTGTGCACAGTTAACTCCAGTTGTGGCTAGGTTGCTACCTCCATTAGCTTAGCTCCCACCTCCGTGTTAGCTTTGGGTTAGCTTCAGGTTAGCTTGTAGCTAGTTCGACCGGGTGTCGTCAGTTGATTCCAGCCTTACAGCCCCACCCTCAGCTCCTCCTCTCTTCCCTTTTGTGGAATTGTCTGTGCTTGACGGAACCTGTGACACGGTCAAAATGGCGGTGGTGGCCACCTCCCATTTTTCTTCAAAACCGTGTTATTGGAGCCTATGGAAACCCATTGTCCATATATATGTGTCGATGGGTATTACTAGTTTTTTTTCCTTAGGTCTTTAGTTGAGTTTTTAAACATTTTCTGATTATTTTCTGCCTGCATTTGCAGGAATCTCTTTTTAAATTTGTGAAGCAGGTTAACCCAGACTAATGAGTCCTTCAGACATAATAAAATGGTTCTTAATTAATGATGAATTAAAGGGTTGCTGACAAGTTACAGGCACATTTTAGGCTTTTTTTATTTTTATTTTTTTTACCAGCAACCTGTCACAAATGAGTTTTGTTTCCCATTTATTTTGCAGATTACATAAAAATACCAAAGACGTACTATGTGAGGTACAAATAGCCTTTTAACTGTGGCAAAGAAGTTCTCACAATACATAATGCTTTACTTAAGGATCTAATGAATTTTAGACGCTATAGACGTTAGAACAGACACTATTTCATTTTCTACTTTTACTCTTTGGAGACCATACTCTGAAATGGTCATGTGTAAAATGTGCCAAAGCCCAGAGTGATCAATTACATCAGGATCACTCAGAAGAACAAAAGAAGTGTAACTTCTTGAGAACAATGAATTACACAAACTGAGTGGATTTTATTTAACTGTAACACAGATTATGACCATAAACCAGTAAAGGTAAGAATGAATTAATAATTTAGACTTTGTGAACTGAACTTTGTTTTGCTGCTTCTTTGGCTGCTGGTCCAGTGAGTTTTGCACATAGAGTATTGGCATTTCTATTGTTGGAAAGAGGAGAGCCTGACCTTTAATTAAAGCAACAGTTTTAGTGGATAGGATCAAATTGCATCGTCACTTTTGTGTGTTTTACCTCAACATGTGTATTTAGCATCTTTTTACATTTCTTTCATTTTGCAGTTTATTGTTGGGATTGGTCTTGTTGAGGTAGAAAATATTTTTTCTATCGTTTAGATGAGCTTCTTCTCTAGTATGCAGAGTATTGGTAAACATTTAGCATGTTTTTGGGCAACACATTCTAACTCACAACGGGTTGGGAAACAAACGCCTTGGTCTGTGACCCTCCATGTCAGACCCCAACGCCGTAAGTGCCTTTTTCGTCACAGCTGGACAAAAAAGGGATTTCTCTAACTGCAAATTCCAATGCAGCATAAAATTGACAAGATGGGATGTTTACTGGCACTGCACCGAACCAGCATATGTCACCGCATCCGAACCTTAACCCTCTTGCTATTTCTAACCTTCCCGTCTCACCCAATCGTAACATTTCCCGCTTTGCTATTTGGAACCTCCCCCTTGCCTGGGCCCCAAACCAACACATTCTCAGTCCGAACGCACGGGACAGACATGCTTGGTCACTGTGAGGGGAAGGTTAGAAATAGTAAGAGGGTTAAGGTTCGGATGCGGTGAAATGTGCTGGTTCGGTGCAGCACCAGCAGACATGCCATTGTGTCAATTTTACATTGCAATGGGAATTGCAGTCGATCAAAACCCTTTTGGTCCAGCTGTGACGAAAAAGGGCACTTTCGTCATTGGGATCTAACACGGAGGATCACTGACCAATCATTTGTTTCTGATGCGTTGGGAGTGAGAATGTGTTGCTTTGGAACAACTTTGCTGCCGGAAGTGCTGGGTTTCCCAATGCCAGGATCCCTTGCATTTAAGAAGTTTAGAATGAGTTTACTTTTTGTACTTGGAACATGTGATAAGGTCTCGTTCTAATAACTCAGCCAGCCCCGTATGGGCTTATGTTGCTTGAAGTGGTAACAACAGCTTCAATTAGAACATTTAGCTACAAAAACGCTTCAAGTGTTCTTGGCTTTGTGCACCAAACCAAAGCGTATTAACTGGTACAGTAATCAAAACACACATGAAGGTTACTCAAGAAGCAGACATGCTGAAACCACAAGACCTTTCCTTCACATCAGATGCACCTTTGACTCAACAAGCACATGAAGCTTGGTATGGCTGCCATGCTTCAACGTGGCCAAAATAGTTTCTCTATCTGCTGCAGCTACAACTCCCCCACCCCACACACACACGTCAGCGGATGAATGTGTTCCCTTGCTTCTGTGCATCCTAAGTGTGTGTGGTATGTTGTGGTTCCCTGCTGGCGCCAAATTTAGTCCCAAGCAGCGAGCCCTGGTGCAACTGTTGCTGAAGTCCAAACGTTTAACGGCGAGTATCCAGAAATAATCCTCACCACCATCGCACAGCAAAGTATCTAAAATTATTGGCTGTTTGGCCAAAGCAGGAGAGGAAAAAGCGGGCCTGATTTTCCACAAACTCACTCAAAAAAATAAAAAAGAGATGAACGATGAAAGCTGACAAGAACAGGAAGACAAATGCAGAACTGCTACACAGAAGGCTGGAGAGGCAGTTGACAACTGGTGCAACAAAAATCACTTTGTTTTATGAGATGAAAATGTGTGTAGGAGGCTCTGATGTCATGCTGCACGGCTCCCAACACATTTAATGTTTGAATTTATTGGGCAAGAATTAGTCCTTTATGCAAGAAACAAACATGCAGCTCTGGGTTTATCTTAGGTTTTGTGTTTGCACACTTGAGTTTGCTTCAGACAGTCACAATGGACTTCCAACAGATTGTAGAAAATAAGCTGGAATGAAAAACAGAAGCCAAGAAAACTCATTCACATGAACCTCAGAAGCAACTGTGACTTTTATGGCTTTAGTTCTGTCAAAGTACTTTGATGTGAAGCCGAAATCTACTTTTTTCTAGTGCAGCTGCTTGAAGGGATGACAATTTGATGTTAAAAGTTGATTTGATCAAGCAGAAACCGGATAACAAAGAAAAAGAGAGAAATAAAGAGAAAAGTGGTGAAGAAGCTCTAAGGATCTAGATGTGAGTGAGTGAGTGAGTGACAGAACAAACTCAAGCTGGGATGTGTGACAGCAGAGGCCCTGGGATTTTTATAGTCAGGCAGTAAAACAAACAGACTGAAGGTCATAAATAAAGGACAAGAGGAGTGAATACATGGACTTACCGCCAAGGCCTGCAGCCTCTCTTTGTGGAGCTGTGCCTCCTCACACGACATCCTGAGGGGGAAGCAGGGGAGAGAGGGAGGTGAAAGGAGAGCAAGAGGTGAGATTTTCAGGGAAGTCGGAGTCCCTCAGTAGAGGCTTTGAGAGACACAGAGGGGAGGGAAGGAGAGGAGTGAGGGAGAGGAGAAGGATCCAGATGTCTTTCCTCAGAAATCATCCAACCAGAGTGGGAGAAGAACCAAAGATCTCTCACTCAGTGGCCATGTGCCTCACACTCAACCCACTGCTTGCATTTTCTGTCTCTGTCTGTCTGTCACCCTCTCTTTCTTTGGCTCTCAGCATCTCTCCTCCCATTTGTCCCCTCCTCTCCACCACCCCCCTCTCCTCCCATCTTTAGGCATGGGCCATGTGTGATTAAACAGCTGGGAGGAGCAGCTGAGAGAGGGATGGGGCAGCTAGAGTAGGAAGAGAAGGGGTTGTGTAAAAAGAGGGAAGACAGAAAAAAGAAATTAGGGGGAGAAGAAGAGAAAGGGAAAATGCAGACACATGGTAAACTGAGGTAGAGGAGTCATTTGTCACAGCTGAAAGGTGGAGGTGTGCAGTGCAGTTGAGGAAAAGTTACTAATTTAAATTCACATGTTGGGTATTTTTCTATGTGACTTAGATGTGGGACAAACTGTGAATTTAAATCTTCTTATTTATGGATGAAGAACTGTTTAAATACTAGAGCGACTATCCTCAAATATAAGTTTAGCTGTGTTGCTCATTCCAGGGCTGTCTGGTCTCTAAGTGGAATTTTCTGATGACTTTAAGCTCAACAGGGAGAAAAGTATTTACTTGAATAATATTTCTAAACTTTGATGAGTAGATTTTTTTTCCTATAAGGAAGTTTGTAAAATGTAGGTATACTTTTACATAGTAGAAATTTGTACTTGAATTTTTTTCTCCAAAGGATCAGGCATGTTCTGGTGAACATCTGACACCAAAAGGAGAGTTTGACTTTAGAAAATAAAAGCAGAATGATGCTTATTATGAACTGGGAATCAAGATTAAAAAAAATGCTAGGAAACACACACACACACACACACACACGCACACACACACACACACACACACACACACACACACAGGAAAGTGTGTGTAATTTGGTCACTGCTACCTGTGATATTACTGTCACCTGTTCTTGCTCTTGAACCTCTTTGACCTCCTCCATAAGGGTCGACATCTTGCTCCCATCCTGCTCTAACTCTCTTTTCACACCATCCAACTACACCTCCTTTCCATTTCTTTTTCATTTCCTGCTTCCATCTCCTAAAATGTCCCTACAGATGTATCACTGCCTTCTGTCCATCCATCCTTTATTTTTTTTACTCATCACTCCCTAACTCCTCATTCAACTCCCTTCTTTTACCCGTCCCTCTGTTCATTTCATTATCATTTTCTAATATTTTTACCCATCCATCCTTTTATTTAATGATTTTTTCCTCCAGTCTATCTCTAACATCCTCTCTCTCTCTCTCTCTCTCTCTCTCTCTCTCTCCTGTTTTTCCATCCTCCTTCCACAAGCACACATCCATATAAGGAAAAACAGCAGCAGCTCTTGCGTACTCCTGTGGGAAAACAGAAGCATGCTAAGCACACACACATTCACACACATTAACACAACAGGCTATGAGTTACTCCATGAGAATAAACATGCAGAACAAATGAATATTGGTAGGAGAAATGATAGAATTAAAGGTGACAAATTGTCAGATCCACTATTTGTTTTTACGTTTCTCCATGAAAATTAGAAATCCGGGGCCTCGTGTCAGTAGATCTCCCTGACGACTGATGATTATTGTTGAATAAAAATCATGTAATGATTATTATCTTTGTTGTAGCAATTCTGCTTGGCAACAAACCTCATTGAAACACTTGTTTATTACTCCTTAAAGCAGGCTCCTAACTTTTGTCTGTGTCCAATATAGCCATATACACACATTAGTGATTCATTAAAACTTTACACAGACATGTAGAGTTACAACTGTTAACCATCGGGTGGGTTATTCAGATTTTATAAATGTAATTTTTACAAATAAAAACTTGGTAAGCTCTATCTAATCAGAGACAAGCTTGAGGAGACTCCCTTAGGGGGTCATGGATCCCAGGTTGAGAATCACTGTCTTAAAGGGCAGCTTATTTAAAAAAACAAACGCATTAATGGGTTAAACAACAAAGCTGATTTCTGGGCTGTGCCCATAAAGAAATACCCCACACATTCTCAGCCAAACAGCTTGTTCTGTTATTGACTCTTGTTTGGTGCCGTTTACTGGACTGGATGTTCAAAGTCTAAAGAAATCATGTTTTTTGGTCATTTAGTAAACAACAAGATATTCTACTAATAAACTGGCATGTGGGAAAACCATTTACGGCCCTAAAAGTGTGGCTCCTCATCCAGGTTCACCGTGATCACACTCTGCTGTGGGATGGCATCCCACTCCTCAACCAGCATTTGTCACAATCAGCCATTGTGGCTGTGTTGACAGAAACAGTACACCCAAAGCTGATACCACAAATGTATAACGGGGTTGAGGTCAGACTGCAGCTAGGCCTTATCATCCTCTCTACTCAATGATCAGAATGTGGTTTATGATTAACTATAACCTCCTGTGGGGGTTGGGGGTCCTGATCTGGGATTTCCACTAGTTTCATAATCTCATTTTGATATCTGTGTGCATCAGGATTACCCAGTGCTGCCCTACACCATCACACCAGAAGCTGTAACCTTATCAGTTTTTACATTTGAGCTTTACAAGCCAAATCAGGACACCACCCCATAAACACTTGTCTTTTATAGGGCTGGGCAATATGTTGATATTTAAAAATATTGATACAATTTCAAACAAGAAACAAAATTATCTTATACTGAAATGACTTTTCAAGCCGCAAGCATAGTGATTAGCCGCTATGCTAGCAACTAGCTTGCTCTCTACTAAGTGGCAGAAGTTTCAGTTAACAATCTTTTGGGAAGAATTAAAAAAAGGAAGAAGGCTGGAGCACTTAAAGTGAGAAAAGGTTTTAATCCTGTCCTGCTTTTGATTTTCACCTTTTGGGAAGAGTTTGAATGAGACCGCTAAGAGTAGCCTGCCAGCTATGTGGATAGCATTCAAATTTGAAATCGTTTAGAGATTTTTTAAGCCCTAACATCAACAACCCCAGCATGTTGGCTGCACTTGCTGAATTAAACCCCCTGACCAAGAAAGCCAAACTTTCCCCTAAATTATTTTAATTTTCGTGTTTTCCTCTTCTAATGTGTGTTGGACTCCTTCCTCGTGTCCGATAAAGTACGCCCACCTTTCTTCCTCATTTCCAGCCCGTTGTTCTGGTGTTAGCCATGCTGGTAGGTCGTCATTGCAGACAACGGCATCATTGTTCCTCTGCAATGCCACAACGACACGATGACCTCACTGCACAGCCAGCCCAAACTGCCCCCCTCCCCTTCCCAGCCTTCCCCACCACCCCAACCCAGAAGTAATAGCCTCCAGATGTGGACTAGAAGCAGGAAAACACACACACACACACACACACACACACACACACACACACACACACACACACACACACACACACACACACACACACACACACACACACACACACACACACACACATGAAAAAATAAGAGTTACAATATGTTGAAGTTGAAGGAGGTGGGAATTAGCAAATATGGACAAAAAAAGCCAGTTAGGAAAAGCTAATGTACATGCTTTTGTGTGTGTGTGTGTGTGTGTGTGTGTGTGTGTGTGTGTGTGTGTGTGTGTGTGTGTGTGTGTGTGTGTGCACACCACATTAATGTGGTCATCGTTTTTGTCTGCTTCTTGTGAGTTTGTTCTCCCACATCTCAGTTCTCCCTAAAATAACTGAAACACACAGAGCCGGCCATCCAGCGCAAACTGCGCTCTGCTGCAGAGTGAGTTACTGTATGAAAGTACAGAAATGTCTTCACACACTTCAGTTAGTAAAAATGCGGTTGAGGGACAATCCATCATAGCAGACCTAAATGTGTTCACGCCGTATGGCCATATTTTTTATGGGGATGAAAAATCAAGTCCTCATATGCCAGTCATTAAATTTTAAAACCATGTTTAAGATTAGGAAAATGTGAGCTTTGGGTTAGGAAAGCAGCAGTTTAAGGTTTATTGAGCAAATGGGTGTCAAAAGACAGAAAAAGGGCAAATGAGGAAAAAAGAAAACATCAATTGGAGGAGTGTGTGTGTGTGTGTGTGTGTGTGTGTGTGTGGGGGGGGGGGGGGGGGTGTTATGGTGAGGATGCCAGACCTTAACATCATTCATATTTCATAAGCAGCTGATGGAGGCTGAGTTTAGTCTGAGTGTGTTTATTCAGTCAGCATAAAAAATGATGAAAAATGTGTTGATATCTATTTTACAATGACAGATTTCCCCTTGATGTGATGGGGCTCATGCTAGCCAAAGTCTACGAGTTAGACACATCATTTGATATATTCATATTTAGAACAAATTGATGAAAAAAATAAGGTCATGATCATTTGTTTGTAAACTAAAAAATTTACCACTACAGTGTGGTTCACCTTTCGCAGTCTCGCAGTCACGAACTTTTTTGCTACAAGTTTACATGCTTTGTTTTTTACAGCGCATTGTGTTCTGCACCTAAATGGGCAAAAATTTTAACATTTAAAGTGTTTAAACAAGAGAGAAAAGTGTGAAAATGTTAATTGGTGTCTGGGAAAAGTGTGCAGTGAGGTGTTTTACACAGCCTTAAAACATTGTGGCGTTGCGCTGGGACGCGCACGTCTGCGGAGGAAAAAAGAGCGCACTGTGCAAAGGCTTGAGTGCGTTAATAATCAGTGCTGCTGTGCCTTCATATGCAGGAGGAGGAGACGCAAGTCTCTTCATGACGACAAGAGACTTAAACGCTGGGGTGAATGTGTGCAAATAAAACTGTTCAACCATGCACGCATGCTGGAAATATGGCTAGGGATCGTGTCATCATCACCGACGCAGCCGCCATGATGGCAGCCTATGAGTCTTTT